AATTAAGAAAAGAAATATAATTTTCTCGGGAATCTATAGTCTAACATGAAAAAAAAAAACAAGACAAGAAGTGATAATGGTGATAACGATGATACTGTGTAGAATAATGATAGTAATATAATGATGATGATAGCAATAATGATCATAGTAAAGGCAACTTGTAGATGAGGATGAAGATAAAATAAAAGGAAAAGATGACGGTGAAGGATAGAAATTTAGAAAATAAAAAAAATGATTTTCAAATTCAAGCCTAGCGATTTTGATCTAAAAAATCAGGTCCTTGCAGTTGCAGTCCTTAAGATTTTTATTTTACCTATGCTCAACACAGCCACTCCTGACTGGCTGCTTCCGTCGCGGTTTTTTGCAATACACCGATATATGCCATGATCTTCCATCTCCACTTTAGTTATCAACAGCTGGCTTCGAATTTGGCTTCGGTTGGTTGAAATAACACGTGCTCTAGGGTTGTTCTTTAAGGTTTGTGTCGCATTATCCTTAATCCAGTCAATGGTTGGCCGCGGAATACCCTTAGCAGCGCAACTAAAAGAAGCATCAGAACCAATCGAGACACGTTGTTCCTCTGGATCTTCAGTTATCTCAAGTGTTTGGGTTTCTACAAATTGACATATATATTGGCATTTATTTGTATGCATGTAGCACTGTAAGATGTCTCTTTCGGCCGTTCTTGGGAATATTGGGGCCAGGCGTTGTAGGACATCTGAAAGAACACTTGTGAAGACGATTTGCTACGGTTTTCAAGACCTATTTCATGTCAAATTAAGGTTTTAAAAATCGCCATAACAAGCGTTCGCTCGAGTACACTTTGACTTCCGTAAGATTGGTGAAAATAAAGAGATCCGATCAAGCGGATTGTGATTTTGATCCAAGGATATGAATGTTTTAGAACACAAATGAAATGAGCGAAATCAGTATGTCAAGCGAAATCGACCGACCCGCTCCGTCTTAATACAGAAAATTAGGGTTTGAACTCGGTGGTAAAATGTGATAGTGAGGTCTGATTTCCTGTGGGTGTAGTCCTGAGAAGGACTGTTGTCGGTGGTGGTCACTGGCGTTTCGACAACCTGAGTGGAAGTCATCATCAGACTCAAGTGAAAAGTTGTTGTCAGTGGAATGTTCTAAGTCCGGTTCGATTCGTTTAAAATGATTAGTCAGTTTTGCCGTGATGTTATTGGCACGGCAATTAACACCAACTTGGCCCTTTCATGGGCTTCTCGACAACGTGGTAAAGCAATTGCAAAAGAAATTGAAGAATTCAAATACAAAGCTGCAGTTCCAATTGTTCACATCACACCACTGTGATAACATTAATCACACTCCTTCTTAAGAAGCAAATCACCATGGCAATAACAAGTCGTAACAAGAAAGTTGTCATCACACGAGAGGTGAAAAATTCGTGAACATTTGAATTTTTCTCTATTTTTNGGGTAGTCCTAGATTGTTTCTAATCAAGTAATTGACAATTGATTCCAATCGGAACCAGTTTGTCTATCGGTCTCATGACAGTCTTGTCACCACACGCAACTTTAGCTACACGGGTGTGGCCATCTCGTCCTGGATACACTTCAGCAATCCGTCCTAATGGCTAACGCCCTCTTGGAGTATTGGGCTGAATCACAAGAACCACATCCTCAACTTTTAGGTCCCGGCATTCTGAAGTCCATTTTGGTCTACTGTTAATTATAAGGGCTGGTACAAATTCCTTGAGCCGTCTCCAACGCACTGGTGAAATAATGTCTTCAACCTTTCGCCATCGTTGGCACGGGGGCAAAGTAGAGGTTTCAATGGCCTCAGGAGCGAACTGTCCCCCATTTGGCCGTGCAAGAAATTGTTTGGTGTCAATGGAACATCAACTTGTGGATCTGAACTCTGATAAGTGAACGGACGGGAATTAAGAAGGGACTCCACCCCTGCGAACACAGGTGATCAGTTCCTCGTCGTTCACATCCCGTTCTCCCACAACTGCGTGAGTGGCTTTCTTAGCAGCTTTCACCATTACCTCATGGGCTCCTCCAAAATGTGGGGCAGCTGGTGGATAGCATCTCAATGTCGCTCCAAGTTCGGCTGTCTTGCTCTAAAAATGTTTTCGGTCTAACTGACTGACTAGTTTCTTTAACTCGCCCATTGCGCCCACGAAATTTGTGCCTCTGTCGCCGTCACTTCTCTAGGAACTCCGCGACGACTGATAAAACGGGCGAAGGCGTTTAAGAACGTGTGGGTATCCAGTTCCAGGCCATCTCTAGATGCAATGCTCGTATTTCCAAGCAAGTAAAAAGGCACAGCCACTTTTTCTGTGGTTTTCCGCGTCCTTGAACAGTATAGAAAGGACCTGCAAAATCTACGGCTGTTTGGGAGAAGGTTTTGAGGCTGAAACGGAGCCTCATTTCCGGGAATGGGACCATGATCTGACAAGCTGGCTTTTTTCGTCTTCTCTTTCATTTGTTGCATTCATGATCCCACTCGCGAATCTCCTCGCTTGCGGCGATGATCCAAAATCTCTCACTCGACTGGCAAAAGAGGGAAGGTTACTTCAGCGGCATGATTTCCTCTCTCGTGATAATGCTTCACAACAAGTTTCGTCACCCATTGTCCACGAGGCAGAATGACTGGAAATCTAATCTCACATGAAAGAAAACCTGCGAACTTTAATCGACCATCACTGCAGATAAAAATTTAATCTTAATTAATCGGAGCGGAATTTCTAAAAAAAGGCAATTTTATAAACTGGCTTTTCTTTGGTATCGGCTTCCCTGAGCTCAAAGATGTGTACTCGTCACAAAGAGCTTTGCGTTGTGCCGAGCGCAATATTCCTCCTTCAGCATCCTTTACTTCTTCGGGAAACGGTTCCATACTTTCATTCTTGTTGTCTCTGTTGCGCATGTTTTATAGTACTCTTCTCACTCTCGCGTGTGCTCGCCCCAAACGCGTCCAACTGGAAAACCGTTTCGGATCTAGTATCCACTCTTCTAGTGTGTCTCGGTGCAGTTCCTTTCTGAAGGTTACACGCCATGAGAGTCGCATAAGCGCATAAGCATTCATGTATTCTTTCCTCCTCGAGTTTCTCGTCTCTGACATTTCCCTTGGTCTATCTGGGACTTTCATTCTTGACCACTTACTGAAATCATCTGTCAGCCAGTCAGGACCATCCAACCACGAGGAACATTTGGTCAACTCTGAAGGCTTGAACCCACTTGAGCATAAATCGGCTGATTCTCTTTGGTAGAGACATGCTGTCATTACGACGGTTCAGTGAACATCTGTATTTCACCAATTGGTTGGCTACGAACGATCGGAAGTCTTTACCGCGTCATCGAATCCACCGCAGAACATATGTACTGTGAGAGTGAAACGTAACGCTCTGCATCAGTACTTCTAGGGCCGTCAGCAACGACTGTGTTAAGCGCAGGCCCAAAATCGCACTCATGAGTTCCAGTCTGGGTACTGTCATCGGGTTCAATGGCGCCACTTTACTCTTTGCCGCAATCAGGCGACTGGTTACATTATCATTATTGTATCCGCAGCGGATATAGACTGTTGCAGCAAAAGAATGTGTGTACCTTAGTGCCAACCGATGTGCTTGTATTCAGAATCTAACTTCGTCCTTCAAGCAGTCTCTGAGAAGTATGACTGATCTTTGAATAAAGGCTGATAGTTTCTAAAGAAACTGTTTGGGGCCTTTGTCTGGTGCGTTTGTTTAACCAGTGACTGTAATTCTCTAGCTGACGTTCCAGCAGCTTTTTTACCAGCAGGCTGTGAAGAGTTCCATGTCGTAACTCACCGTCTCTTCCTTTCACCTGTAACTTTACCACTGTAATTCTAACAAGGTCGGCAAACTTCTCCAGCGCGTGGATATCGTTGCTTCTTATAAACGGCGCCTGTTCTAGTTGATCCAAGTAGGCTCGCAAAAGCCGGCGCGTACCTCCATACTCCGTCTTTAATATTTATTTTGCCTCCTTGTATTCGTGGGCGGTGAATCCAAGACCACGGATGGCTTCCAAAGCGTTCCCTGTAAGGCATTGTCGTAACCTTGCCCTTTTCAAATGTACTGGCTCCATTGACTCGTCTACGAGACTTGTAAAAGAGCCCAAAAATCTTCAAACTTTCTCTTGTCACCATTCAACGTCGGAACTGTTAACGGCTTCATATATCGGTTTCGGTCTTCCTGTCTGCCGTGACTTTTGGACGCACCGACTTTGATCGCAATTTGACCCGCTTCAATTGTTCTTTGTACATCTCTTTCGATTGTTTCAGACTCATCAAATGCTTCTTTTTTTTGCAGCTTTTTCTTCGACCTCCACATAAAACGTGATCAGTTCCTCTAATATCTCTTGTGCGTCCTCTAGGGCTGCCCAAAGCTGTTCAATCACTTCATACGTCTGTTATTTAGGAATCTTTTAAAAATAGTTTTCCACCTCGTGTCTGAGTTTTGTCAATGTTTGCTTTCCCTTACGTTTTCCTTTCTTAATCTCTATCAACAGAACTTCCTTTTGCTTCTGTTTTTCGACTCCACTCGGTCGATTTTTGTCGTTTTTTCTTTGTAAACTTCAATAACTTCGCCCTTTTTGGATTCGGTGGCGATAGCCCTCAACTCCAAAACTTAACTCGCAAGCGAAACCTCAAAAAAATAATAGTTCACACCTTGCTCCCATCGCGGTCGCCAAAAATGTTCGGAAGCGAAACAGAAATCAAACAAACGCATTTATTGGTAACACGGTAAAGGGTAACTCACGGTAAACACCAACGATCGCCAAACAAATTGCGACTCGAAAACTCAAAACTTTCAACTCAGCTCTAAGAAACTTGCACACGTCAAAAATAAAAGGTCCGCGTGATTTGCACGGGCGCGCAAGTCGCGTGCGCACAGGTTCGGTAACGTCTTCTTAACACAAAGGGACAGCGTTGGCATTTAAGTGAAAGACTTCATCGGTTTTCAACTTGAGCATGACGTGGAAAATAAACTATTTTGCATATGCAAAACTCACCTGAACCCTTCTCGGTTAAAAAAGCCCACGATACAGCTTTGTAATCACCATTGCTGTTTTCTGCCTCACATCGATATTGGCCAAAACTTTCGTTATTCACTCCCGTAATTAAGAGCTGACTTTGCATGCTGTTTCCGTCCAGCGACTTTTCAATGACATTTAAACTTGAATTGGATTGTAAAGTAATTAAATCGCGTTTCTTGAACCATGAGATGGTTGGTTTAAAAAGACGACCTTTGGCAGTGCAGTTGAAAGTTACATTGGCCCCTATCTCAACACTTTGATGCTGTGGAACTTCTGTTAACATTACCTCAGCGCCTAAATGGAAAAAGTATTATGCAATAAATACCTCTTGTGGGAATAGGATGATAGTGGTAAAGGAAAAGAATATTCAAGTTTACTTATTATTTGGAGTTTCGTGTTTAAGCACTAAGCAACTTGAAAAAAAATTTTTTTTCCGCTGCAACAAAACCCAATGCACGACACCCACTGTCGCTTTGAGGAACGTATGATGGTTGTAGTTACACCTAATTGCAATAAGGTTGTCAAAGAAAAAGCAAAAAGCAAAAAGCAAAAGGCCAAATAGGAATTAATTAGCATTTAATTATCGTTGCTTGCAACATTCACAATACTCACGCTTCAGTCTCTTGGTGTCATTCTAATCGCGGAATTACAGAATTATATCTTGTTATTGTGAATGACTTAAATAATCCTTAAATTATTAAAATACGCAAATGAAAATCAGATGGCTAATTAATTCGTATTTGGCTTTTTGCTTTTTTGCTTTTTTCTGTTACAACGTTATTGCAATTATGTGTATATGCTGGAATGATAAGGCTCCTTACCTTTCATCCCCACTTCAAATGATATCATTGTGCAGTGCATTCTGTAACCGTTACCCGCTTGACATCTGTAGGAGCCAAAACTCTCAGCTGTCAGTTTTTTAAGCGCTAATGGGCAGCTTAATATCCTTTTATGATCATGTACGTCTGAGGGCTGTTCGCATTTATATCCAACAGGTCTACCCTGAGGATCGTACCACTCAATATAATCGACCCATCTATCCAGATAGACAGAATCTCTCTCTCTGGGCTGCGCTGTACAAGTCAGGGTTATGGAGGCACCAATGGGTAGTATGTTGTTTCTTGGACTTGAAATGATGTTTACAACGGGCCTAACTGGGTTAGAGAGATTGGTAAAAAAAATAAAAAAAACTAAGATCAAATATATCTAACCTGGTTAAAAAATGAATTATTAGATAAATGAATAAATGTACACACACACACACATATATATATAGATATAGGCTTGTAGGGATGAAATCGTAGTCGTATCTTTCTAATTCAACATATATATATATATATATATACGTGTCTGTGTCATTAAATAAACTATTTATTAATAAGTAATTTCTTAGAGATCTCGAGATAAAAATTAACGATAAAAAAAGCACGACCTTTCGACTTCTCCGTGGTCATTTTCAAGTGAGTGAAAGTTTTCCAAATTAGCATAAAAATGTAGAAAAAGTTGAATGGGAAAAATGTGGCGAACGCTAAAATGTGATAAAATATGTAAGAAAGTGCTAAAAATATCTATGAGGTAAAAACAACGGAATAATAATAGCAAGAACTACTCTAAACAAATAACCTGGCGCGAATTAAATCGCACTGTTTGTTTAGTGTTGGTTTGAGTTCTTTGATGAAAAAAAAAAAGACATTTAAAAAATAAGAAAACCAAATTTGTTCTAACACTTTCCTAAGATTCTAAAACTTTGTGTGATGTCGTCTGACTCCATATCATGCTGCTCTCTGAGATGCTTTCCGATTGCCGATCCTTTGTGTTCCTCAGATCGTTGGTGAAGGTGTCGGCACGTGTAGCCGACATGGCCTGCATCGCACAGGCAACACTGAAATGAATACACCACGCATTGTTGAATTCCAAGAGGCGGCTTGTCTTCCCTGACCTTAATTTCATTCTTTATCTTTCTGCTTTTGTAAACGAGGCTAATATCTGCTTTGATCTTCCGACTGAGGTCAACAAGCTGTCTATTTACTACGTTTGAAGACTTCTGATCTTTGAAGGGCAGCTTGATTCTGATTGGGGCTTATCTTTTATCAGACACTTGGTACATGAATCTTCGGACAATTTTTATTCAGTGGCGGATGGTAGACTGCACAAGATCGTCTGGATAGCGCAGTCGGGAGAACATTTCTTTGAGACGTTCACATTCCTCGTTAAAAAAAACTTCCACGTGAAAGAGAGTTGAAACGCACGACTTAGCATGGTGTCCAGTAGTGACCGTTTGTATCTGGAGTCAACGTGGCGGTGGTAGCGTAGCAAAAGCCCTGTATCCGTTGGTTTTCTGTAAGCCATGGTGTTTAGGCGGGAACCATTCCTGATGATACCTATTCCGAGAAAGGGAAGTCTGCCATTTTCTTGGAGCTCCATTGTAAAATCGGTAGAGGGATGATTCTTGTTTAATTTCATTAGTAAATCTGATGCTGTTTCTGGATTATGCATTGCACAGAGTGTATCATCTACAGAGCGTTTGTAAAATGTAGGCAACTTGTTCTCTATTTCCAGCTGTTTCTCGATTTTGCACATGAACGCGTTTGCCATGAGAGGACCCAGTGGTGAGCTCATAGCCACACTGTCCACTTGTTTGTTCAAGTTTCCTTCAATATCATACATATATGTATATATATATATAG